TATGTGATTCTGTAATATAGTACATTCAGGCTCTGGACGGGTCTCCGGGTCAAACCAGCGATATGGCGAAGTATAATACTAGTTTGAGGACTGGCGTGTCCTGTGTTCTATATTATATGTAGCAATTAATAGATGTATATCTAACTGGGTGGCCGGTACTGCCTCTTGCCAGGATAAATAACTAGCTAACAAAATATAACTAATTAAAACCAGCCCCAGGACAGGCGGAAGGAGATATTTATATGTTCTAATAGCAGGAGCTGACCAGGGGTAGCCATTCGCTTGGTCAACGTGCGGTCAGAAACCTTATATCTCAAGTCGCCCCGACATGTGTTTCACCTGGCGTATTACACCATGCGGATGCAGTCATGGGTAGGTTACAACCGGGCAGCAGTCACCGTGTAAGATTTGCCTCCGCGAAAGAGTCTCACCTGGGCTGGCTCAATGACCTCGAAGTCGGTCATCGTTAACAGCACCCCTTGGACCGTGATATAATATAAAATACAGAAGTAATAAATTCTGTATTAACTAGTAATAATAAATTCCAACTATTCCTATCTAGTTTCTTAGGTTATTTTCAGATTTTTTGGGTCGGGTCAGGTAGTTCTAATCAGAACCCAACCCAACACTATCTCTCTTATTCTCGTTGTTTAGATATACTACTAAATTTGGACTTATGCAGGCATTTTATTAATAAGACTGAACTGTCTTTTATAATAATACTAGCGCGATGGTAATTGTATACACAAACATGACTAAGCCGAACCGGGCCGATTACCTCCGGTTGCGTAATAACACACCCGGAACGGCCCTACGTCACGTGACTACATGGGTATAAGAGATAGTATACAAACAGATATATAATATATAACATAGTACTATTATAGTCTATAACTACTGTTGGCTGGGAAAATGGATCTCTGACTCATTAAATTATCAATCAAAATGTTAAAAAGAATATCCCTTAAAAATATCCAACTCAGCTGAAATCCCCGTACAAATTATATGCAGATTCCAGCTCAGAAGTCTCAGTATAATTGTTATTCTTACAACAGTATCTAGTATCTACAAACTGTGATAGAATAACCCAGCTGTCGGGCCCTTGGGCATCGGGATGACGTATTATAGTAGTCCTGGGAGTCGTGAGGTCATCGATGGTGGTTCTGCATCTTATCGACACCTAAAAGGTGCCGATTCCTCTGCAGGGGACTACTGATCCTTGAGGGATCAGTCTATCTCGTGGATATAGGCTACCTTTGTCATTATTAGACGAATCCATTGCGTTTGGTGGTTGATTCCTTACCTAGTCGACAGGCCTTCTACCCTGACAAGTAGATCCTATCACACAAACATTTCAATATGTTCTAGTTTTCGACAAGAGCAAACAAAGCTTTTGTAGGCCTTGAAAAAAAACTCTTTATTTATAAAAGCCTGAGCCTTTATAGCTGATCTGGAATCTAACCAGGATAAATTTCTTACTGGTATAATAATTCCTACTAAGCACATTATAACTTTTTTTACTTATCAAAGAAATTTGAAAATTTATTATACTTTATTTTTTCTGATCTAGTACTCTGGATCTCTATTCCGAGTTATCATAATTATTTAAGTTAACTTACTAATCAACTTTTGAATATATATCTTTAATAATGTCATATAACAACCTAGGGGTGTTGTCCACACAAGGCTAAAAATAAAAAGTGTGATAGGATCTACTTGTCAGGGTAGAAAGCCTGTCGACCAGGTAAGGAATCTGCCACGAAACACTATAGATTCGTAGAATAACGACAAGGTAGCCTATATCCACGGAGTAGACTGATCCCTTAGGGATCAGTAGTAGATCGATGAGAATCACTACTATATACTGAACGGAACGCTCGAGAACCACTGTCGATGACCTCACGACCCTGATGACCCCTATAATACGTCATTCCGATGCCTTTGGCTGCGATCAGCCGGTTCACCGATCTGTTCTATCACAAAAAGACCATCATTACCCGCAGCTACCTGCGGATCCCTAGAACCCTGCTTATATAGACATGTACACACGGGAGCAGGTGGTGTTTCACTACTTAGGCCATCCCTCAGGATAGTAACCTATCACAAATAATTATATTTTTCAGTATATCTCAGTGCACAGAGAAAGAAGCGAATATATAAAAAATAGAAAATACAGATTCTAATAAATAAAAGATAAAATAAGTTATAAGTCTTATATTTAATCTGTCTGACTGTCCTGGTCAGTATACTCCAGTAGCACAGTATATTTTGGAGAAATCTGTTCAGAATACTGACAGCGCGCCCCTGAATAACCCTGAAGATGACTGAATAAACTAATTAAAGTAGTGTCTGCTAATCTGGGACGCTCGGTGGCCACCAACATACACCTTCTTTTGTATGTATTTTGCTTTTTATTCTTCTTTCCTTTTTTACATAAAGAACGAAGAAAATCAAGCTTCTTATGTCATTGCGGAATTATGTGCGCCTTTGTTGTGGGAGGGGTAGTGATGGGGGCAAATAAAAACGCTGTACCCTGGAACACTATATGATGTAGGGTGAGCCCTGATGCCAAGTAGTATAATCATCATTTCCATTGATCGTCTCATATTTTTGCTTGCTTAGATTTGTATCGACTCTCGCGGGATTTATATACACATATACACGAGTGCAATCTGCCAGTGATCTTATATCTGTTAACCAAACTGATAAAACACAATGAGTTGCATCGTCCACTGACGAGCTACTTAGAGATAGTATATACCCGAGATCCATATAGATAACATCATCACAACATGAAACAAACAGAAGCGACTCATCCAGATAGTGGAACAAACAGCGTCACCACCACACATCAACCAGACCCATCCAATCAATGGCACTAAACCACTACAGACGCCCTACCCCTAACCCCCCCAACATCCTTCGTCTTAAACCTCGCCAACAGCCCTGCCAACGCATCTCGTCTCTCATTCATGCTCGCCAACTTCCCCCTCTGAATCTTTCCACTGACAGTCCGCGGGATCCTCTCAACAAAGAACACACCCCCATCCAACGCCTTATACGCTGCCAACCGCTGACGTGCAAAATCATACACCTCATCGGAACTAACTCTAGCACCCGGGGCTCTAGCTCGCACAACATACGCGCGGGGAGCCTCCGAACTCCCATCCGATAGACAGGTGCCGATGACTGCGACGTCCGCAATGAGTGGGTGCTGGAGCAGTACGGCTTCGATTTCAGCGGGGCAAACTTGGTATCTGGTTCCATGATTGTGTGCGTCAGTCAATGGAATAAAATGTCAATAGGGAAAGGAAGGGAATGAACATACCCCCGCACTTTAATCAACTCCTTTGTCCTGCCCACGATGAAATACTCCCCATTCTTGACATACGCCACATCGCCCGTATCGAACCACCCTTCAGCATCAACCATGGACTCATTACGTCCCAAGTATCCCGTGAATAGACCAGGCCCTCTCACATACAGCTGTCCCGGGACTTCATCATCCTTGATCACTTCAGCACCAGACACAAGTCTTGCCTCACACCCCGCAGTGATAGGTCCAATACTTCCCAAGTCACCCTGTCCTGGTCTGCCATTGGCAGGGTAGCGTTGTTGAAAGACAACTCCACACTCTGTCATACCCCAGACTTGTCCGGCACAGGCATCCGGATGCAACAAGTCCTGGAAGGCAGACATTGAGGCACGATCGATAGGGGCACCAGCAACGCCAATGTATCGGAGGGAGGAGAGGCGGGTTTTGACATCCTGAGTGGCAGGTGCTTGGTTGAGCATGTGCACCATGGCAGGGACGAGGTAGGTTTCGGTGATTTGGTATCGGTGGACAGTGGACAGGAAGAGAGGGAATTGGAAGTCACGCAGGAGGTAGAGAGGTTCCCCGTAGCGAATGGGGAAGAGGTGCGTCCAGAGGGAGCTGAAGAGGTGGAAGATAGGGAGGGAGATGAGACGCGTCACAGGGTAAGGAGAGGAATGGGCGATGGAGGCGTGCTGGGCTATCAGGGAGCCGTGGGAGAGGACGGCAGCTTTGGGAAGGCCGGTGGTGCCGCTTGTGGAGTAGAGGGCTGCTGGGGTGGAGGCTGCGGTTGCTGCGTCGGGGATGGGGAGGGGAGGGGAGGTGCCGTGCGACAGAAGGGCGAGGAGGGTGGTTTTGTCTGTAGCCTGAGGAGGAGGTACGGATGGGTCGTGTACGAAACGGATGGTCTCAGTGATGGTGGCATCATCAAGAAGGAGGATATGATCGTCAGGCAGTTTGTGCTTGTTAGCAATGGTACACACTGTTGAGAGTCCCTCTGGCTCGGTGATGATCCATTTAGGATGGGTAAGGGAGACGGTGTGATTAAGCTCTTGCAGTTGACTGTGTGGATTGGAGCCCATGTAGACGCCACCTGCGCCGATGATAGCAAGGAAAAGGGCTGTGTAGAGAACCTAATATAAACAAGGAAAGAAGATGTGAGACAAGAGACTTGCACAGTAGACTGAAATTGACGTACGTTGTTCCCCGTATGGAGTAAGACGCAGTCGCCACGACCAAGACCATGGGCCTTTAGCCCGGCAATCAGACTGTGCACCAAGAATCTAAACTGGGTGGCGTCGAGAGACCGAGAGGGCTCCTGGGGATCGATGAACAAGGGCTTGCAAAGATCATACTCCACCTGGGCGTCCAGGGAGAAAGTGACCACGTCATGAGAATGGGTGGACTTCATCGTGGGTACAGTGAACTGGAAGCAGGGATTTTGGGCAAGAGCAGAAGAGCAAACTCAAAGAAGTAGGTTGGGGGAAACCAAAGCTCTTATAGCCTTGTCGTCAGCAGAACCACCGGAGCCTACGGAGTCTACGGAGAAACTCATCGGAACAGGGTGCCTTCTACAAATCAGAATCATAGACAGGCTCCGGAAAATCCAGCATGTGAACCTGAAAGGGTTCCCGAATCCCAAAGCTGGATTGGCTAAGGTTCGCTAATAGCTAGCTAAGCCACATATCTTATATCTAATTATGCCCGCACCTGCGGCAGGAGTGCTGGGTCCAGCAGTTCAGCTGCATCGCGCGCTATGGTATCGATGGACAGCCCTCCCAGCAGCTTTAGTACCGGCACATCTACCCCCAGCTCTTTGGTAAACCAGACTCGCAGATCGACTGCAATGAGCGAGTCCACACCGACATCGGACAGTAGGGTCGAACCAGGTAAATCTGAATCCAGAGGCAATTGTAGCTTGCGCCGAACCTTCTCGGAAAATCCTGTGGCAATGATATCGGCCGCTTCGGTCAAGCTCGCTGCCGACTGCAGCTGGGTTTTGGTGGGAATATGATCCTGATTGCTTCCCAGGGTCTCCGACTGCCGGAAGTGGTGGACGTAGGGCCATAGAACGGGGTTCTTGTACCATATCACGTCGGGATATACCTCGGGGTCAGCCATAGGAATACCAGCTATGATGACCGGATCACGGCCAGAGTCGGGACGGCCGGCCAGGATGGCTTCTGAGAACTGCTCCAACAGGTCACGCTCGGATATGACCGATTTTCCGATAATTCTGACAAGATTCTCTCTCATCTGCGATCCCATGCGGGCTACATACCCGACGCCGTGCACTTCACCTGGATGGACAACGCTGCCAACTTGACCGCGGAGTCGTCGCTGAAGAACAAGCTCCTCCACAAATACCGAACTGGCGGCATAGATCGATTGGTTAAAATTACCTATGATACCGGCAATAGAGCCCATCAGGATAAAGAAATCTAAGTCGTCCTCTTGATAGAGCTCATCCAGTATTTTGCTCCCATCGACTTTGGGTTTCAAAACAGTGGTCACATCATCTAGGGTCGCTTTCGCAAAAGCGCCATCTTGAAGGACCATCGCAGCATTCACGATTCCACCAATTGGGGGAAGGTCTGCTTGAATGTGATTGTGTACGCGCAGGACCGAGGTACGATCCGTAACGTCCCTGGACCCATCAATGAGACTGTGTGCGATCGATCTCGGAGATATTCAACTTACATGGTCATGACAATGACTCGAGCACCAAGGGCCGACATCTCCTCGAGCCATCGAGGGTCAACGCTTGGGGATCGACTGGTAAGAACCAAGCATCGAGCGCCGCGGGTGATCATCCATTGGCAAACTGATCGTCCAAGATCACCGGTCATTCCGACTAACAGATATGTCTTGTAGGCATTCAAGTTTACAAGAGAACTAGCCGGTAGGGGATATGCCAAAACTGGCCCCGAATGCAGCCAGTTGACAATGATGGAGGGATCACTGCTGAGTGAGTATGACTGGATGTCACCGGGAGTAATCGTGGCAACAGTATTTTGCGAGCCTCCTTGCTGTTCTGCAAACAGACAGGACGTTGCCAATATATCTGCACAGGAATCACCTTTACCCTCTAGGTTTGAGACCGAAGAGTTGCCGTAGAACGTATGTAAGCCGTAGGTCGCTACTGCGGGAGGCAGCAAAGACTTAATTCGAGCGAGGGTGCTGTCTGTTTGGAGTCTGAAAGTGGTAAAAACCGAGACCCCATCAGGCAACAGGCGCGATATCGCACGCGATGAGCTACGTGGTGGTATGATAATCGTGGTTGGGCTTCTTCGGCTGACCTCAGTGCTTTTAATAAAGCGTACTTTGATCCCTTTCGCGGAAGCCATGACGGCCACTGCTTGTTGAAGAGAGGTGGCAGCTTCATCAACAAGAAGAACAGTATTGGCTGGTGTTGTGTTTACCAGGTGACGGGCAACCATAGCCGTAGCTACTTCGTGCAAGAATGCTGCGTCATGTTCCTCAGAGAGCCAGCTGGGGGCCGTTAAGCACCAGGATGCTGGTGTAGAAACGACCGAGCCATGATTGACAGACAGCGCTATAACACGCTTGCGAGTCTTCTGCTCTCGCCCCAAGACAATGTGTAGAAAGCCAGCAGACTGGACATGGATAGCGGAAAGAGTGGCATAATGAACCTGAATAAAAAGAATATCCCTGCTCTGCTGATTCGAATTCTGGTCTGCCAGGGCTCGCTGTGGCAATGAGACGAGGGTAAGGCTCGCCTTTTCAGGAATAACGTTGACAGGAACCGAATGGGGCTCAACATGGTCCATACTAGAAAACCCACGATTACTGAAGAGTCGTCGATTCATCGTACGGCTGGGCAGCACCCGAGGAATCATCATTATCCCGTTTTCTAGCCGGAGTTCCCATTCCGGATTTTCCGTGCAGTCTGCAAGGCTATAATCGCTGTAGACATCCGTGTGAACAAGTCGCATGAGTGTAGTGGCTAGGATACTAGTGTCAATAGCATCCAGGTCACTGATGGTGAGGTGCTGGAGTAGAGCGTGTGAATTTTCGCTCGATAAAGTGCGTAGAAGGCCTTTAGTCATGGCCTGATACGGCTGCTCGCCGGGATATCCAGTCGCAGTCCAGAGAATCTTCTTTGCAGTCCCGAACAGTGCCTGCAGACCGTGGAGACGTTCTGCGGTAACCCCTTGGAGGCAGGGACTATCCATGTCGGACAAAACCAAAACCGCCGCCTTTGATGCATCGGGCGGAGGTATGAAGGCTTCAAGCGTAACCGCATGGCTGATTCGAGCAAAAAAAGGGGCCACAAGATCCCGGACCTGTGTGACTAAACGTTCTGTATGGGCACAGGAACCTCCGACTAAGATGAGATCCGAGTACTGTCCCGTGGCGGGCACCGACAATGGATACTGCAACTTCGAAATATGGCTGTCAACGGCCTGAGCGCTAAAGATCGCAAGCGCTGTCTGAGCCATTACATCTGGAGGTGATACAGTTTCGAGCCCACCGAAGCCTGTATTTTGCAGCACTTGATCCCAGGTGTCACTGGAGACCATGGGCCCCCAGGGGCGACCGTCATGTTCTCCTAACCACCACCCCTCAAACGCGCCAAAAACGGCCGACACGGCAACATCTTCGGTGTTGGTTATCTCAAGCACAGCGACTCGTCCACCGGGTTTTAGTAACCGACGAACATGGGTCATGGTATTAGTTAAGGAACGGGTAGCGTGCAGTACGTTGCTCGCAATGACCAAATCATACGCATGCTCGGCAAAGCCCTGTTCTGTCGGATCCCGCTCTAGATCTAACACCTGGTATATGAACCGATCATTATGTGTCTCAAAAGCGCCTTGGGCTTCTTCGAAAAAGGCCGCTGAGATGTCGGTGAAGGTGTATGAATGATAGTCCCGTCCAATTCGGGCGAGCACTTCTCGTGTCGCTGAGCCTGTTCCAGCCCCAACCTCAAGAATTTTCATGCGAGGGTACCGGAAGGCCAATTGACTTACGACATCCGCAAGACTGCAAGTCATCATCCGAACCGCGTAATCCTGATAGAATCGAGTCAGAAGATCATCGCGGCGTAGCTCTTCCATTATGTTGGCTTGGCCACGCAGCCACCCTATGAGTTTTGGACCTGTAACTTCTAAGACCGCCAGGTGGTATTTTATGGCTTGTCTCTGACTTGCTGAGATGGAAGAGGTGTAATCACCCCTGAGCCATTCGGCAGGATAGTGGGGATGGGTACCAGCCTGCACCCTGGATAACATCATATCCATCCAGGCTACATAACGGCCTCGGAGCCAATCCAGCCGTTGCCGATCCTCAGCTGTTAGCTGATGTTGCGTGTCCCTCAGGTAAAGCAGAGCTAGGCGATTCATCTCGTCGTAGCAGCCTGGGAGACTAGGGGGCCTGGAAAGCGTCGCGTTGGGCAGCAAAGGACCCCACTTCCGTTCTGCAAATGTCGTGATATCGTCCAAACTGGGCTGGGCGAGGGGAGCGATCTCAACACCCTCTATTTGGACTAGTCCATGACCCTCATTATCGAACAGATCGATATCACCGCGTATTCCTGAGCTATCGGTCCAGGACACCGTGGCCGCTACTTCGTACGGGCCACGGAGAGTTTGCCCGCTGCTGACTCGGTAGAAAGAAGGGTTAAATATTGTGCTCGCGATTCTAGTGGGGAGATATAGCCTGGATAATTGGCCGTCGTTAGGATCCCCCATCGCCGCCATTATGGCCTGGAGGCCAGTGTCCAACGTGGCAGGATGAATTAGAAGCGCTGACCCAGCATTGAAGACTGGTATCTTGGCATTCGCAAGGTCCTTTCGACGCCATATGTTTTGAAGGGTGCGAAATATACCTGAGTAGCCATACCCTAGGCCATCTAATTGCTGGTAGAACTCGTCTGAATCCACAGGGCGCAATCCTGGGGGTATCGGACCCAATGACGGCAAGAGTGTTGCATCTGGCTCGCCAAATGTCATCTCTAGGCGACCGGATGCACAACAATGGAAGACATCATCATTGAGGCTCGATTGGCAGGTGAACACACCGGTTACTTTGTGGCCATTGTTATGCGTTCGATAGAAGGTAAACAGCGTCTCAACGCCAGAGGAGTTATCAGGTACGGTGATCGCGCGATCAATGACAAGCTCACGTATCTCAACAACTTGGAGCAGCCGCTCGTCTGCAACAATGCGGGCCGCCTCTAGAGCCATGACAAGATACCCTGTAGCGGGAAACACAACTTGGGATTGCACTTGGTGGCCGTCCATCCATTCTAAGTCCTGCACCCGCAAGAAGTTACGCCAGCGCCACTCTGCGTCGCCAGTTTCAGGGGTAAGGGCGCCAAGGAGGGGGTGGATGGGATGCCGACGATTGATGCGCGTGCTCGATAGACGTGGAACGGCCCAGTACCTTTGGCTGTGGTCCCATGGATATGTGGGAAGATCGACAAGATAGTTCAACTTCATAGACGGCGAAAAGAGCCGGATGTATGATGATACATCCAGAGTTTCGGTTCCTAGGTTCGCCCAGAACGAGCCCACCGCGAGTGCCAAGGCTTCGATACCACCAAACTTGCGATTAGCCATTCCAAAGTAAGGAACATCGGCTTCGTCAGGCTTTATGGACGACAGCGTTTGCTTGGTGGGTCCCTGAAGAGCAGCATGGGGTCCCACCTCTACAATGGCATCCATCTCGGGGAGATCTCTTATAGCAGCTGACAATGCCTGAGAGAAGAGCACAGGGCGAAGCATATTATCACTCCAGTATTGGATGTCAAGGTTATCCATGACTTGGTCCTCGAAAACACTGGAAAACCACTTAGTGTCAGAGAAGCCTTGGCGTGCCTGGATCTGGCACTGCTTCATGGATTGGACATATGGATCAGCACAAGGGATCATATGGCTAGAGTGATAGGCCGTATCGACACGCAAACGCCGTGCTGAATAGCCGAGGCTCTCTATGACCCATTCCAACTCAATGATCAGGTCACTGTCGCCTGAGAAAGTGACACTGGTAGGAGAATTGAAGGCAGCCACGGTAATAGTGCCTGATTGGGCCGCGTCGCTACACATGGCCTCTGCCTGGTCCCAAGGTGCACTAACTGCTAGCATAGCACCAGACTTTCCCTGAGAGCCAGCATGTTGTGCTGCCACTCCTCGTAAATAGGCGATTCGAATAGCGTCTCTTAGGGTCAGCCGACCTGCCGCATATGCTGCACCGATCTCACCGGATGAGTGCCCGACAACTGCCGCGAATTCTATCCCAAGTGACCACAGAATGTTGACCTGGATAATTTGCAGCGCTGTACGCACTGGTAGCGAAACTGCCGCTGAGTTGAGCCGAGAGGTTGCATCAGGAGCGGAAAGTTCATCTAGAAGAGAAAAAGTAGGTTTGTACTCTACCGGAAGAGTATCCAGGGCCTGCTGCAGCTCCTTCATCCAAACCTGAGCTTCCGAGCATTGAGAGATAACATCTAGGCCCATTTGTGGCCATTGTGCGCCTTGACCCGTAAAAACACCTAATATCTTCTTTGGCCCAGGAGTGAGTCGTCGTGTGATGGTTGAGGAAGTATCAGCAGAGCGTCGCTGCACCTCACTGCTTAGGACCTCCCGAAGTGTCTCATTGGTGCCTGCAGTAAGAAATAGACGATGACTCAAGGTCGATCGCTTCTTGAGGAGAGAAGCGGCTAGCTCCAGTAAGTTCACTCTAGGGTGCTCCTCCAAATACCTGACGTAATCTCGTAGGACCGCGGTGAGCGAGGCTTCAGATGCAGCTGAAAACACGAATGGGAGTATTTCCGGTGTTACAAGCTCGCAACCTGATGATGATGATAATGATGATGAAGCCCCGCTAAAGCTCTCCAGAATAACGTGCGCGTTGGCACCCCCGAACCCGAATGAGTTGACCGAAACCCGTCGTGGAGACCCGGATGGAAGATCTGGCCAGGGAAGTGCTTGGGTTGGGACTTGAAGATGAGTGGTGTATGGAGCCACTAGGGGGCTGAGTTCGTTGAAGAGTAGGTTAGGCGGTATAACACCATGTTGGATTGCGAGTGATGCTTTGAGAACCCCTGCAATTCCTGCTGTGCCTTCCGCATGGCCTGCAACGCTTTTAATGGAGCCCACATATATAACGTCGTCAGGCGGGGAGCCATCGTCAAAGAAAGCAGAGGTAATCCCAAATGCTTCTTGTGGATCACCCGCGAGTGTTCCTGTCCCATGGGCTTCGAAAAATTGGCAGCGGTCTTCACGGCGAAGGGGGTTGAGACCAGCGCGCGCATATGTTGAGCGAATGAGATCCCGCTGCGCTTCACCATTCGGCAGGGTCAGTGCCTCAGTACGTCCGTCAGAGTTCACACCAGTAGAGCGGATGACACATTCAATTGGATCACCGTCAGCAACTGCATCCTGCAGGCGCTTCAGCACGAGCGCGGCCACCCCTTCGCCTCGGGCATAGCCATCCGCATGGGCATCCCACATGCGACAGCGCCCTGTAGGTGACAGCATTTGCATCTGAGACTCCCCAATAAAGGGATCTGGGGAAAGAATCAGGTTGCTGCCCACGACAACTGCGAGTGTACAGTCACCATTGTGTAAAGCCTCTGCCGCCAGGTGCAGTGCTACTAAGCTGGAGGAGCATGCCGTGTCAAGGACAAATGAGGGCCCATGCCAATCGAAAAAGTATGAGATCCGATTGGCAAGAATCGAGGGTGTTGTACCTGTGACTGAGAAAGGGCGCAGCAGATTTAGATCTGCATTGAGAAGGGATTGATAATCATTGCTCATGGAACCACAATAAACTCCCGTGGATGAGCCCTGCAGATGTTGCAGTGGCAGCCCGGCCCTTTCGAGAGATTCGTATACTACTTCCATGAGCAGTCGCTGCTGAGGGTCCATTGATGCGGCCTCCGCAGGAGAGACCTTGAAGAAGGGGGCATCAAACGTTCGGATATCCTCTTGGAGAAAGTAGGCCTCGGGAGCAACCAGCATGCCAGGCCGGGCCTTGCCAGCTTGGTAGTAGGCGTCCGCGTTGAATCGGTCAGTAGGAGGCTTGGAGGCGACATCGCGCGGATTTTTCAGTAGTTCCCAGAGTCGAGAGGGCGAGGTGGCCGACCCAGGGAATCGGCAGCCTGTGCCGATGATAGCGATTGGCTCTGTTCGTGTCATCGGGAGTAACTGAAAAGTCGCTGTTCGAATAAACAAGAGAGATGTACAAGAGAGTAATGGATGTCGTTAGAGATCTCAGAAGGACTCGAAGCCTTTGGTGGGCTTGGGGTATATAAGGGCATAAGCTGGGGTGATGGTTTGCATGGTGAGAAGGTGACCCATGATCGAACGTGGTGACAAATATATTGCAATGCAAAAATACAACCCAGCAGTACGTTTTGCATAGGATCATCTCTCCGCCACGCATTATACCGCCTTCGCTTTGCTTCTTGTTTGGCTCGCCAGCGGGGTCTGATACCGACCCCTCATAAAACCCCACCCGGGGGCTATCTAATTGGAATCCCGAAGGAGTTCGCAATAACTTCTCGGTATATTGTCAGGATTACCCGGCGAAGACGCCACCGCATGCAGCTAGATGTCTGTGAATGCAGTGTGATTAGGAGTGACGATGGTGTCAATCGATATGTGCTGAGGAGCGGGGACGGATGGGGTGTTGTTTGGCGAACCCACAAAATCATGTGGAAGACGAACTATCATCGGCAGGATCGAGTGATCGACGGAGGGTCAAGTTTAGACCCACGTCAGCAGGGTAATCAAGCGTCTTCTCGGTTCTTCTTTTGTTTGTCGCCGACTTCGTATAAGATAAGAGCTGCTGCTCTGGTCATTGTACCTAATCAATAATATTCAAATGAACGTCCGCCTACTGAACAATATACCGGACGAGCAAGCCGCTTCGACAATCCAAGATGCCGGGCTGGGAATCCTACTCAGGCCTTACGCTCATCCCCTACGATCTTGTTGTTCACTGGTTCAATGACAATTATGTGTGGAGGTGCCCTTTGCCAGTTCTTAGTGCCTTCTTTGCAGCGAATACGGGACCTCGTCATATGGATATTGGTGTTGGTACTGGGCTCTTCCCTGCACATTATCGCGACCAGATGCGGCAGAGACACCAAGAGTGGCCTCAGAAATTGGCCTTGGTTGATATGAACCCTTCCTGCCTGCAAAAGGCTGCCGCGCGCATCGACTGTCCGAGCAAGACCGAATGTGTGCGGGCTAGTGTTCTGGAGCCATTCGCCATCCCGGCTGGGCAAGGGACTCTCGGCGCATCACCCAAGTTTGACTCCATATCTCTGATGTACATGCTTCATTGTTTGCCACCACCAACAGATCGCAAAGCAGCTGTGTTTGCGCACCTGAAGCACCACTTGACCCCAGAAGGGACTCTGTTTGGTGTCACTATCTTGGGCTATGGTACACAGCACAATCTGCTCGGGCGGCTGACCATGCGCTTCCTCAACTGGAGGGGAGATTTTGGAAATGCAGATGATAGGCCGGAGGTATTTGTCAAGGCCCTGGAAGAGGAGTTCGAGGAGGTCGAGACCCATATTGTGGGAGTGGTGCTGCTGTTCCGGGCTCGCAAGCCGCGGTTAGCCTGAGCCACTTGTTAGATGTGTGGCCCCGAAACGTCCAATGTAGTCTACTTCGAGGAGGGTGATGTCATGGAGTCGAGCGAGCTGTGACTACTCTCACAAATTGAATCTCCTTCAGAGGCCAAGACGTGTGTCTGGTGCCTTAGTAATGCTGGGATATTTGTTTTCCTTGTCATATCCTAAGGTCACGATGCATTCCGGACTTGTGCGTTATTAGCAAATGAGTGTTAGAAAAGTCCGAAGAATTCAGTGACTCTAGCATTGTGATATCATCTTTCAAAACAAACATGAGTAGAAAGTAAATGACCAGACCGTGTATACAGGATTCCAATGGCACAGGGAAAGAACGAAAGCCGGGGTTTCCAATCTTGGAAGGCGCCTGAACTGTGAGGAGATGGACGAATCGGCTTGAGGAAGCGGGGCGCCGACCTTTCCTCAGCTTGCCGATCCTTCGGCCTCGTTTCTTTTGCAAGATCGTGACTTGAAATCGACAGACACAGGATGCAATGGACAAACCGGTTACGGAGTTATTAATCCCGACGCCGATGCTGACACGCAGGGCTAGTACATGCATAGAGGCCCTCAATATGAGGGGGTGATAAGAAGGCCAGGCTTTGCTACCGTATTACTGCCACAATTCAGCAGAATAGTCGATCAACATGGAAGAGAACCCGTGCCAGATCCAGTCCGGACTGGGAACGAACGAATTATCCACTCCATTGATTCTTTTCCACGATGCAGGCGGCACTGTGTTTCCTTATTTCTGCCTGGGAGAGCTGCACCGGCCGCTTTACGGCATTGGCAACACTCATTTCGATCACGGAGGCAAATGGGACCATGGAATTCGTCAAATGGGAGTTGTTTATGCACACCTCCTTCGGTCGGTCATCGGGTCCGGGGAAGTCATCCTGGGAGGTATGATGAAATGTTTTAGCGCTTACGCGGAATATCTGGCACTAACAATGAATTGCTTTTGGCACAAAGGATGGTCTCTCGGCGGCAGCGTTGCTTTAGAAGTTGCATCTCGACTAATGAAACTTCCCCAGTACACGGTGCAGGGTGTCATCATGATCGACAGTGTCTTCCCGACTGCCAAGGTCACAGACCAGTATCCCCGCACGATCGCTGATGTTGCTGCCAGCTTCCATCTGCCGGCCCGAATGTCCGATCCCCGGCGGGTACAAGCGCAGCAATGCATTCTGTACGCTCACCAGATGCAGCGTGACTGGCGACCGCCACAATTTTCGTCAGGTCTGCCTCCCGCAATACTCATACGCGCAGCCGATCCGGTACATCTTGACCCCGAAGCGGAGCCCCACTACATCGATCTCATCCGGGACTGGACGTACCTGGGATGGGAGGAGTACGATACGAGCTTCATCAAAGCTTGCTTGGAGATCCCAGGCAACCATTTTACCATATTTGATGATCAACATGTCTGACCTCCTTTGGCATTTGTCATGACCTTGCTGATGATGCTGCAGTGTCACCAAACAACGGCCAAAATTGGGGAAGCTTGCGCAATGTTGACCCGACCGCAGCAGCCAAATCCCGAATGATCGACAGTGCATCAATCTAGATGCAGTGATTCATCGAGAGCATAAGCACATCGAAGTCGAGTCGACTTGCGTATTGCATCTTAATAGGTCATCTCTTGGGAACGAGGCGTATCTGTTCAATTGGATGTTGTTGGAATCCTGGCTCTGTAGATAGCAATGCTGGCAACGGAGCTGAACCGGGCCGGCCTGGGAACATGAGCCGGTCTGATTGCTTATCCCGAGACACGCTTCTGCGTAATGATAGTCTATTGATGCACCAATCCATTTGAATATTTTCACAGCCAATTGCATCCCTTCTCAGCTGGTGGCGACTGCACAAGTGATGCAGTAACTTATTTGTAACTGCCGAGGGTTCCTCATCGAAGCGAGCACCTCATGCGCGCCGTCACTTCCAGATAAGGACCGCAGAGAATTGCAGAAGATATAGAATTCATATATTTATTAGGGTGGAAGCCCGAGCCACAGTGGAGATTGAAGATCCAGAGTCGTCAAACACATCAGTATACCCACCATGCTTGATAAACACATACCTGATGGTCACTTAGAGACAACAAGTGCCCACTGGAGAGATCTGAATCAAATTGTTCAGAATGGAGAACTCAGTATCGACGGCTATAGCCTTAGTCTTGCCGATGTTGTCGCGGTAGCAAAGTTAGCCAACATCCCACTCAATAACATCTACTCACACGAATGCGCCTAACATCTGAGATAGATACGGCTGCCAGCCTCGACTTACCGAGAAGCCTGAGACGATCGATGCTATTAATGGGAGTGTGATAGCACTAGCCGAATGCCTTCAAGATGGGCATCATATCTACGGTGTGTCGAGCCTTCGAATCAAATCTTAGATGGTATTGGAATTGACCAACGATCTATCAGGTGTCAATACTGGATTCGGGGGGAGTGCTGACTCACGGACGAACCAGACGACCACTTTGCAGAGCTCTCTCCTTCAGCTACTCCAAAGCGGCATTCTTACCACATCTGATACTACCAATGAAGGCCTACAACCCAAATTACAAGAGCAAAGCTCCCACTCCATGCCTTCCGAATGGGTCAAGGCGACTATGCTTGTAAGGAGCAATTCAGTTGCCCGGGGCCATTCGGCCGTGTCACTGCCCGCAATTAGTGCAATCTTGCGGTTGATTCGTGAGGATGTCATCCCTGTAATTCCTCTTCGGGGAACTATTTCCGCATCAGGGGATCTCATGCCCCTCGCATACGTTGTCGGGGCGATTGAAGGGAGTCCCGGAATCTATGTGCGTGTCAAGGACGGGTCGGAGCATCATGTTGTCACGGCTCAGAAGGCACTGCAGACAATTGGTGCTAAGGGTGTCACACTGGGACCCAAAGAAGGCCTTGGTTTGGTTAACGGCACAGCCGCTTCGGGTGCTCTTGCCGGCTTAGTGCTCTATGAGGCGCATCAGCTGGCCGTACTTGCGCAGGCAGTTACTGCCCTTACAGTTGAGGCCATACAAGGGAGCACAGAAAGTTTTCATCCTTTTATCGCTCGGGTGCGTCCGCATGAAGGCCAGATTGAAGCCGCGGAAAACATTTTGTCCCTGCTGAAAGGCTCTCTACTTGCCAGGGGAAGTAGTACCACGCAAACTAGGACGGGGCTTGTCCAAGATCGTTATTCTCTTCGAACAGCCAGTCAATGGATTGGACCCCAACTGGAGGATCTTCTTCTCGCTGATCGGCAAGTCCAGGTGGAGCTCAATTCAACATCGGATAACCCGCTTATTGATACTGGCTCGAAGACCTTTTACACCGGAGGTAACTTCCAAGCAACCTCGATTACTTCAGCAATGGAGAAGACCCGACTTGCGTTGCAAATGTTCGGGAAAATGTTGTTTGTTCAGTGCAACGAGATGATCGACCCCAACCTGAACAATGGTCTGCCCACTAATCTAGTCGCTGACGACCCCAGCCTTTCCTTCACTATGAAGGGGGTAGATATCAACATGGCGGCCTACATGTCTGAGTTAGCGTATCTCGCCAATCCAGTTAGCTCCCACGTTCAGACCGCAGAGATGCAGAACCAAGCGCTCAACTCACTAGCATTTGTTTCAGCACGGTATACTATGAAGGCGGTTGATATTGTGTCAATGATGGGCGCGTGTGCACTATACGTCGCTTGCCAAGCCCTCGACCTACGTGTCCTGCAACTCCGCTTTTTTGAGAGGCTTCAGAGTGCTGCTAGAGATATCGCAAACGAAGCTTTTGAGAAGGTGCTTGAGCCACATGAAATAGACAAGGTATCGGATCATCTTTCCGAAGCGTTCCAGAATTCTTGGCCATTGACTTCACGTCTCGACCTAACCGATCGCTGCAAGCGCGTGGGCGAGATGTTCGTCCCCGTGCTTTTTGGGGCTCTTTTGGAGATTGTCCCACAGGATCGGCAAAATTCCGATTTATTTACAGCAATTTATGCATGCAAGATGATGAGTGTCCTCAAGCTTGAAGCTGTTTATCGAGAGGTGTTCGCCGAATTTTGCACTTTGCAACCAACAGCCGACTTCCTCGGAATAGGGACAAAGGAGATCTATACGGCCATTCGACACGAACTTCAAGTCCCCTTCCACCAGGGGTTCGTTGAACACCCCTCGGCGAGCCAAAATGATTTGCCAGAGACAATCAATGGTAGAGCCAAGAAGACTGTAGGGGGGTGGATATCAGTTGTATATGAAGCTTTGCGAAACGGTACGCTGAGTGGCACAATCCTAAATTCATTTCAGCAATAGAAACCGGACAATATTGGCATAATGGAAGCGGGTATAGCCATTTCAACAAGGTCAAGGGATGACACCAGCCTCTGATCCTACTCGAGGGTTACCGGCATCCTGGGCACTTGATACAGCAAGACTCATAGATCATATTCGTCGCTGAAAAAGCCTTAGATAGCCAATACAGGTACTTGAGAGAATTATAATGGCTGCATTGATTATATTGATGATCAAATTCAAAGATGTGTAGTTGTCAAAAGTCAAGACGCAACCTTGCTGAAGCAGTTCATCGAAAATTGGGAAAAACGCGAAGTTTTCACCTCTTGACCGTCATTGTGAGGGTCGTCTAGATGAGGGGAACAGGTTTGAATGACGGTACTGTGAATACATTGGAAAGGTTTCGTTGAAGTCACATGTATACATCCTGGATGTATCTTTGCATTATATACTCAATCGCAATCAGAGCAGTCTTCTCTATCTTATGCGGTGACTGTGGGATATGGGCAAATCGGAAACCCGGTAGCGGTTCTTAAGAAAACGCCCAAAAAGCATGTAGTACGCGTTTGACCACATGACCATCTCCATCTATTCCCGCTTAATGGAGTCAAGAGCAACATACTTGATGTCCGGTCGGTCTTGCAAGGCGCGTGTCGTGTTCGTCGGATCATACACAGGAGTATTCTTGCTTGTCTGCAGCCGGCTTAAACCCTCATGAACAGGCTCGTCAAGCAGGGGCATCATGGATTCCAATGCATTTCCTGGAGAGTCACGTATCCTCTCCACCCACTCCCTGTAGTCGACCATCTTCACGGGGTATCCGATATCGCGCAGCATGGTATACTTCTGATCGTG